AAGGCCCCCTTATCCATCAAAATTTTCAAAAGAAGGTTTGTAAAACCTTTCCTAATCTTGTCTGATAGCCTGCTAATTTCAAGAAAAAATTGATACCATAAAGTGATATAGTAAATGAATTTCATTCTCAGAGGGCGCTTGGCCTGTTCACTTTATAGCTTTAAGTGCTAAAACTGAAGAAAGGAATAGTAAGTGAAGTGTGGCTTTGGGCCGAGGTTTGGCAGAATGTAGTCAGTGTCTTTCAGAGAACACATAGTTAAGAGTATTGCCTTACCAATGTTGCCTGGTAATTAGCAGCCTCTGGACTTTAAAAATTCAAATGCAGTTGGCCTAGTGGTGCACATCTGTAATCCCAGACACTTGGGAGGCTGACGTAGAAGGGTAGCAGGTTTAAGGCCAGGCTGAACCTTGTCTCAAAAATTAAATAAAAAGGGCTGGGTATTTCATTCAGAGGTAGAACGCTCCTGAGTTCAATCCGCAGTATACTCTCCCATGTCCCCCCCAATTTTTTTTTTTTTTTTTTATAAAGAGAGAGAGAATTTTCAATTTTTTTATTTTTTAGTTTTCGGCAGACACAATATCTTTGTTGGTATGTGGTGCTCAGGATCGAACCCGGGCCGCACGCATGCCAGGCGAGCGTGCCACCGCTTGAGCCACATCCCCAGCCCCCAATTTTTTTTTTTTTTAATGAGGACTTGGTCTCAGCAATAGACCCTATTGACTCTATTGAGATAATATCTTCCCCTTTTCATTTTTTAGGAAGGGATAGCTGTTAGAATTGGATGCTGTATAAGAATCAGGCACAGAGCAGTCACTTGTATTAACACCACAAAGACCTGAACTCCTCAGAAGCATTTTTTTTTTAATATTTTTGTTTTAGTTATAGATGGATGCAATACCTTTATTGATTTTTATTTGGTGCTGAGGATTGAAACCAGTGCCTCGCCTGTGCCAGGCAATCCTAGCCCCTCAGAAGTGTTTTGAATTAACATCAAGCCTGTTCATCATTTTGCACACACCACGCCCTCAAGCGGCCTTCCTCTCAGAGAATGGTGTAAGCAAACCATGTGTTTTTGTCTTCTTCAAATCTGTAAAAATTGTTATTTCTTGTGTTTGTTATAGAGCTGGTGGAGTTGAGATCTATAATGGGGATCGTAAAATAAAGGTTTCCAACACCCTGGAAAGCCGGCTGGATCTCATAGCCCAGCAGGTGAGCGTGGGAAAACTTCTTGTTACCTGCTCTACTGTTCTTTGAAGTGGTGCAGAGAACACATGTCCATGTACTGGTATTTGGGATTTGTCACTTTCCACTTTTTTACTTTATCTTAGAGAATAAGGATTCAGCATGCAGCAGCATTTACTGAGGAAATAGGACTCATATGGGATCAGAACCAGGGTTCTATTTATCTAGGATTCTTTTTATTTATTTATTTGTTAATTTACTTGTACTGATCATTTATACATGACAGCAGAATGCTGTTCATTTCATTGTACACAAATGGAGCACAATTTTTCACTTGTGGTTGTACACAAGTAGGGTCAAAGCATTCAAGCAATCATACAAATACCTAGGGTAATGATGTCCGTCTCATTCCACCATCTTTCCTATCCTCCTATACCCTCCTCTCCCCTCCTTCCCTTTTGGCCAATTCATAGTTCTTCCACTCATCCCATCCCTCCCACCCGCTGCCCCGTCCTTACGGATTATCATCCACTTAATCAGAGAAAATATTTTGCCTTTGGTTTTTGGGGATTGGCTTACTTCGCTCAGCGTGATATTCTTTTTATTTTTTCTTTTTATTTTTTTAGTTATTGTCAGACCTTCATTTTATTTATTTGTATGTGGTGCTAAGAATCAAACCCAGTGCCTCATGCAGGCTAGGCAAGCGTGCTACCACTGCCCACAACCCCAACCCCAGCGTGATATTCTCTAACTCCATCCATTTACTTGGAAATGCCATAATTTTATTCTCTTTTATTGCTGAGTAATATTCCATTGTGTATATATAACACAGTTTTTTTATCCATTCATCTATGGAAGGACATCAAGGTTGTTTGCAGTTTGGCTGTTGTTATTGTGCTGCTATAAACATTGATGTGGCTATGTCACTGTAGTATGCTGTTTTTAAGTCCTTTAGGTATAGACCAAGGAGTGGGATAGCTGGGTCGAATGGTGATTCCATTCCAGGTTTTCTAAGGAATCTCCATATTGCTTTCCAGATTGGCTGCACCAATTTGCAGTCCCATTAGCAATGTATGAGTGTACCTTTCCCCCCACATCCTCACCAACATTTATTCTTTTTTGTCTTCATAATAGCTGCCATTCTCACTGGCATGAGATGAAATCTTAGTTTTGGTCTGCATTTCTATAATTACTAGAAATGTTGAACATTTTTTCATATATTTGTTGATCAGTTGTATATCTTCTTCTGAGAAGTGTCTGTTCATCTCTTTAGCCCATTTATGCCGAGTTCTTTATCCACGAAACAAGTAAATACTTGTTTAAAGGAATTATACGTCTGCTGACTACTCAGATCTTTCCATGTTTGCACAAATGAACTCTAGGAAACAAACCAGAAAAATCCCACTTGCTGTACAATGCTGGGCTAATCTCCTCTGGACTGCCAACTTGGTTGCTTCCTTGTTTCATAGCCAAAGCACTTTGTCCTTGTGTGTCATCTTCTGGTAATTTAAACATTAGAGGTGTGTAGCCTAGTATGGTAGCCATGAATGTTTAAATTAAGATTACAACCTTAGGACCTGAGGGTGCAGCTTAGTGGTAGAGTGCTTGCCTAGCATGCACCAGGCCCTGAGTTCTGTCCCTGGAATTCCTTAGTCTCACCAGTACACTTTTCAAATATGCTACCATATTAGATAGCACAGCTTTAGAAGTTTGAGGTTAAATCCTAAGGATTGTTAGTTGATGTAAGGAATGCTTCAGCACAGACTTACATCTTAAATATTATGTGTGGTTCCTTCTGTCACATAGAATGCACTTAATAAATGTTTGTTGTAAGAAAGAAATGTAGATGATCCAGAATTATGAGGTAATAATGTTAATGGGTCTATCTTCTTAGATCACAATGTAACAGGTCTTAGAAATGACTTCAGATTTTTCATATTTTTACTTTTTTTTTTTTGTAAGCAGTCAGTCTGCACCCCATATTTGTGATTAGTTCAGTTAAAGTGCATCATATAAGTGAAGGCAGATGTGGTGCATTTAGCTTTGTGATTGCCTCTTCAACCATTTAGAGATTAATAACTTTCTTGATGTGGTTAAGATGGGAGGTTTTTGACAAGTCTCCCAATTGATGACACTTAATTTTTTTTCTTCACAGATGATGCCTGAAGTACGAGGAGCCTTGTTTGGTGCAAATGCCAATAGGAAGTTTTTGGACTAAGCCCTTGGGAGGTGAAATTAATCTACTGCTGTACCTCTGAGAAGCAAGATCATCTATGTAGCTTACTATGTAGCTTCTTCTTTGTTGTTCTGCTATTATATTTATCAGTGGATATCTTCTGTAGCTAACATCCTTGGCCTAATGTTAACAACTGGAGGTTTCCTAAGTGTGATCAGGACCCACAGTAATTTGTCTCAGATACCACAGCTTTTATTTGGTTCTGTAGCATGAAGAGGAGGGGTCAGATGGTACTGCATGGACTATACCAAGTCTCCTGTTCTTTTCACTGTTCTAATTACCTAATCTAAACAGTGATATGCATGGTGATCCTTGCTCTTTAGGTATGGGGCATGTATTCTTTGGGCCTAGAATTTTTCTTCATCTGTAAATGTGATTTAAAATCTAAGCAATGAATTTTCTTTATTTATTAAAACAAAAGATTTATGTGGATTTAATTGTAATTTATTTTTGCATGTATCATGCTAGGGATCAAACCTTAGGGACCTGCACATGCTAGGCAAGCATTCTACCTCTGAGTTAGTCCCCAGCCCTTTTTATTTTGAGACAGGGTCTCACTAAGTTGCCCAGGCTGACCTCAAGCTTGGGATCCTCCTGTCTCATCCCAAGTTTCTGGGATTACAGGCATGTGCCACCACACACAAAATTTTTGAGAGATAGGGTCTCATTGAGTTGCCCAGACTGACCTTAACTTAAGAGTCCTTCTGCTCAGGTCCCAAGTGGCTGGGATTATAGTTGTGCACCACTATGCTCAGATAATTTATAATGTCTTATGAATGATACTACAAGTTTGTGGTTTGAGAGAGTGAAGATTGGGTGCAGTGATGAGCACCTGTAGTCCTAGCTGTTCTGGAGGCTGAGGCAGGAGGATCACTTGAATCTAGGAGTTCAAGGTCAGCCTTAACAATGTAGTGAAATCCTGTCTCCAAAAAAAAGAAAGAAAGAAAAAATTGTACTGAGGAACCTAGAAAATTTTCCAAAATCCTATAGCATTTGATAATTCACAGCTGTCAAAACTTGGAATCATTAACCCTCCAGTCCTCTGGGGCTTCTTGCTCATTTTACAAGACCTAATATCACCATGTTCTTTGAAGCTTCTCCATATTAGCCGGCGCACACAGTAAACAAACAGGTGTTCAGTATTACCTGTCTTCTGAAGGGTTATATAACACCCCACCCCCGCTTTTTGTGTTATGTGGAAGCCAGAGCCTCACAAATGGTAAGCACATGCTTTACGGTTGGGCCACACCCCAGCCCATAGGTTGTAGAACTTTATTGAGGAAATCACTTTATTACTTTGGGCAGAGTTTTTTTGGGGAGAAGGGGAGACTATTTAGTGCTAGGCTAAACCCTTTTAGAGATCTTTCTCTTCCTTCCTCCCACTCAACAATTCTGTATTTTGTCCTCAGCTGAGAGCTGCCCAAAGGGCTTATAGCTAGTCGTGGCACAGCTGACATTTTGACTTGGTCTGTCTGGAGGGCAGCCCTTTTCAACTGAGACCACTGTGCCTGACCATTTCAGCACCATTCACTTCCCTCCTTGACCCAAGTTTTGTTAGGTGGGGATTAATGTACATACCAGTTATTTGAATAGGTATTTTTTCTTTATTAGGACTTGTCCTCATTTCTGTGATATTATTTGTGTAGCCCCCTATGGAGGAAGGAATTGAAGCCCATGAAGAGAACTCTTGTCACAGATGACTTAGCTCCTCAACATAAAGGGTAGAGAGGATCAGGACTTAAACATAAAATAAAGTGTTCTTCTGACTATTCTCCATTCCCATGACAGGAGTAACAGTCTGAAGAGTGGTAGTGACCTGCTGTAGTGCTCTAGAAACTAGTTTAGTTCTAAACTGGATACAGAAGGAAAGATTATAGCCTGTCTCCTACATCCACTACTATAAGACAAGATTTTAACCATTCACCTTTATTTCATATGGTCCCCATGTACAGCCATTGGGAAAGGTCTGTGAGAATCCATGCTCCAGGAGAAGGATTTTGGGGCAGGATGGCTGTCTGGACTTGACCACGCTATTCAATTAGGTCCACTTAGCCATCTGTGATGTGCAAGTGGGTGCCTGGTTCAACCAAGGTGCTGGTTTTGTCCCCATTGGACTTTTCTTGTTTGTGGTGCTGATAATGGAACCCAGGGCCTCACACGTTAGGCAAGTGCTCTACCACTGAGCTGTACCTCAGCTCTTGGACTTCATCCTCCTTTTCTTCATCATCAGTGCTTGGACTAACTAAATTATTTAACAAAACTAAGTCTTCAAACTGACTCAAGTATAATAAGTTTGTGAAATAGAAATGTTAAATTGCAGAAACAGCCCCTCTGTCTTTACTGTCTGTGAAGGTCTGTAATTCAAAAGTGAGTACTAAGAATAGTACTAAGTACTAGGTGATAGTACTAAGAATTATGTGATCAGGTGTTTCTGAGGGTCCCTGGTAGCAAGAAAATGAATGTAGGTTTCATAAAGGGAGAAAAAGGATACACTGAACCTGCCTTATTAAAATAGGGTTGTTTTTTCTGAGACTGAGGTAGCACTACAAGTTAGAGGCCAAAATACAATGTGGGGGCCACCTTTACCCCGTACCCTTCACTTAGACTAGTGAAACAGGCTAGAGAGGTGGTAGCAAATAAGGGACTATGATCCAGATGCAGCTACTCAAAATACTTTAAGATATGCTCTCCTATTCCAATGAAATAGATACCCTGGGCAATCCCAAAGAGGGGTGCTATGACAAGAGCCCGGCAGCCTGCTCCCTTCATGAAGGCAGATGGTCCTTCCTGAATCCAGAGTTTCCTGGGGAGAGAAGAGCCCAGTGAGCTAAAGGGAAGAAGCACGTTTATTTTGATTCCTCAAACATGTATGCACCTTTGCCTGGCATGGTGGTGCACACCTGTAATCCCAGCGGCTTGGGAGGCTGAGGCAGGAGGATCGCAAGTTCAAAGTCAGCCTCAGCAAAAAAGAGGCACTAAGTAACTCAGTGAGATCCTGTCTCTAAATAAAATACAAAAAAAGGGCTGGGGATGTGGCTCAGTGGTTGAGTACGCCTGAGTTCAATCCCTAGTAACAAAAACAAAAACAAAAAACAAACATTTATGCACCTTTGAGAATAGGTGTCACTCTACAGCAATATCAAGATTCCAAGTGTGAGGGAGCCAAACCTTGTCCATGGAATGTAGTCAATGTTGGGGTCAAGGCCCAAGAAAATAGGCCGGGGGAGAGATGTGATAAGGATGCAAGGAAGAAGAAAAAAGTTGCCAGTATACACTATTTTCTTTTGAGAGATGAGGGAAAGGGTCAGATTCAAAGAAACCCAGAGCTAAGCAATAAAATGAGTCTCCAGACCAGGTGCAGTGACTGAAGGGCTGCTGGTCTCACCTGGCACAATCTATGATCCCACTGTAGACATCCTCCCCCAGGCCTTTCTTGAGGGTTTGGATTCGAGTTTTCAGAACTAAATTGAGAAGAAATTAAAATAAGTAATGAACATCTTGATTTTGGTGTCCTTCACAACCTGAAGTGATAGGGTTCCCTTTTAGAATGAGTACACATAAGACTAAACTATGAAGCCAGTTCTGCCCCTGTGTGATCTATATCTATAATACATCTTCCTCTTCAGGCCTCTTTTTTTTTTTTTTTTTTTTAATAACAGGGATTGAACTCAGGGGTGTTTAACCACTAAGCCACATCCTCAGCCCTTTTTTTATTTTATTAGAGACAGGGTCTCACTGAGTTGCTTAGGGCTTCACTTAGTTGCTGAGGCTAGATTTGAACTTGTGATCCTCCTGCCTCAGCCTCCTGAGTCTCGGGGATTACAGGCAATCACCACTGCTCCCTGCTTCAGGCCTCATTTACACAATGAATGAAATTCCAGCACTGGATCCTTCAGGCTCTTTGTGGTGTAGAAAACCCACTTGTGTGGGAGAGGGGGGCCAGCTGCAATCCTGGTGACAGGAATCAAGGTCTCCTCACTCAGCTCTGCCTCCTGCTCAAAATTTTTTAAATGTCAGCAATGTTCAGGACTCCATTGGGGGACAAAAAGATAAAGAAATTAACATCTAGAAGGTGAGGGTTTGTCAGTAATAAATAAGCAATAGTGATGTTCACTTTGAACCCACATCTCTGTGAGGTCCTTTGGTGAGCACATGCCAGTGGCCACAGGTTGTGGCTCAAAAATCAACAAGAGCAAAAATATTGTTTGCCTTCCTAAATGGCTATAGAGAAGCCTCATTTGTAAAGCAGATCAAGCCTTGAACCCCAATACTGAGCTCAAATTCTCCCATACTTACCATCCAGGGGTGTGACTGCAACGGCAGCCAGGGAACCTGCAATGCAGCCTGACATGAAGGAATGAGCAAAGGAGGCCTTCCCAGTAAGCTCATGGACCCCAAGGTTGTTCAGGTTGGCAAACATTGGGAAGTAGATGATGGAGAATGGAATATCTCTGTATTAGAGGAAAAAGAAACACTGGGCTCCACACAGCTCTGAGGTTTCTTTCCACAGAAGGCCATGCAGCAAGACTTCTCTGTGAGCTACATGGCTCAGAGATGAGTCAGATGGATCAGAGAGAAGCTACTATTACTGACTCTTAACTTTGCACCCCTAGATAATCTAGGGCGAGGATCTGCATGAGAGAAAATAATTGTTTGCCTTTCTCCACCCCCAGCTCATTACTCTGTGCTACCTGCACCTGCAGCCTATGGATGAGGAGCCAGATGCAGAATGAATGATGGGTAACAAATTCTACAAAAGGGAGTAGGTAGGGAAGAGAAAAGCCAAATAGCACAGTTAGATAAAGGGATACATCTAGGGCTCATGTGGACCTCCTAACTGAAGAAGGGCTTCAGTCTTCAGGTGCCCTTTTGATGTAACTGATTATGACAGCAGGAAGCATGGCAAAGAATTTGCCAATTTGGGATTAAATATTCTGGGAAGAAGACAAAGGTGGCAGTGCCTGTGGCCTTCCCCTTGAACTGCTGTGCCCAAGTCGAAGAAGAAGGGCTCACCTGAGGAGAGTGGCACCCAGGCCTTTATAGAGACCAGCCAGGCCCTGAGTGCGGAGTAGCTCCCAGGCAATGAGAGTGGCAGATGGGCGTTTGTGAGTGGAAGCAGAACCAGTAGTATAGGACCTGGAGGAGGAAGGTGCCGAGGTCGAGCTCTGATGAGGGGCAGCTGGAAAGGAAAGGACAGCCTCTGTCTCAACCCAAGTCCCAGCAGGCACTGCAAAACACTTGACCAAGGTGTGGCTCAGAATACACAGCCCTGGGACAACTCAGGGTACAAAGCCAATGCTTCAACTAGAATCCTGAAGTTTGTCTCAATTTTACAGCATTAATTTTGGGCTCCAAGGAAAGTTTTCTTCTTTGGGAAGAGGGGGAAACTGGGGTTTAACTCAGGGACACTCAACCAGTGAGCCGCATCCCCAGCTCTATTTTTTTTTTATTTAGAGACAGGGTCTCACTGAATTGCTTAGTACCTCGCTAAGTTGCTGAGGCTGGCTCTGAACTCGGAATCCTCCTACCTCAGCCTCCCAAGTTGCTGGGAATACAGGTATGTGCCACTGCATCAGGCTCCAAGGAAAGTTTTCTAAAGTCTGTATTATCTAGCAAGTTATGCCTCTTCGTAGGCTTCTTCACAGAATCACAGTCATTACCTACCCAGTCTTCTGTACAGGAAACTAGAAATTCAAGTTTTTAAAAATTTTGAGGGGCTGGGGATGTGGCTCAAGCAGTAGCGCGCTTGCCTGGCATGCGTGCGGCCCGGGTTCGATCCTCAGCACCACATACAAACAAAGATGTTGTGTCTGCCGAGAACTAAAAAATAAATATTAAAAAAAAAAATTCTCTCTCTCTCTCTCTCTCTCTCTCTCTCTCTCTCTCAAAAAAAAAAAAAAAAATTTTTTTGAGACAGGGGCTGGGGTTGTGGCTCAGTGACAGAGCTCCTGCCTCGCACATGTGAGGAACTGGGTTCGATCCTCAGCACCACATAAAAATAAATAAAACAAAATAAAGATATTGTATCCATCTATAACTAAATATTTTAAAAATTTTTTCAGACAGGGTCTCCCTAAGTTTCTGAGCTGGCCTTGAACTTCTGATACTCCTGCCTCAGGCTCCCAAGCTGCTGAATTACAATAGTGTATCACTGCTCCCAGCTCTGTTTTCTACTTGAACCCTTTTTGATAGTTTCACTCTATTGGCACTTTGGGACAAAGGAATCCCATTTTGGTTCTGCATAATGTAGTAAACCACAAATCTTTTTATTTATCTAAAACTTATCTCCTCCAGTTTTCCAGAGGTGCCTCCTCCCTGTAGTACTCCAGGATTATATGAACATGTCATTTACCTTTCCCCATTTTATAGAAATTGATTTTGTAGATGTCAACCCATTTTAGTTGAGTATTTGAGTCTGTCATTTGATGAGTTTAACATCTAATAATTAGAAATTTTTTTCCTGACCATATAAAATATAGGCACTTAATAGTGGATGAGTCCTACTAGTCACCACAAAATTCAGTGTATGGATAGTGTGTGAATATTTTAAGACATAGTGTTTGTAAAGAATGGTGGTCATGGGCTGGGGATGTGGCTCAAGCGGTAGCGCGCTCGCCTGGCATGCGTGCGGCCCGGGTTCGATCCTCACCACCACATAACAAAGATGTTGTGTCCGCCGAGAACTAAAAAATAAATATTAAAAAAATTCTCTCTCTCTCTCTCCTCTCTCTCTCTCTCTCCCACTCTTTCTTTAAAAAAAAAAAAGAATGGTGGTCATACCTGTGGACTCAGGTAGTTGGGTGGCTGAGATAGAAGGATCACTTGAGCCCAGGAATTTGAGGCCATTGAAATCTCATTTCAAAAAACAAAACAAAGACTATAGGTAGAGTTTGCTTAGCATGCCTGATGCCCTGGGATTTGATCTCTGGTAATGCAACACAATGACAACAAATCTCACCAAATTCAGTGTTTAAAAAGTGTTGCTTACAAGGCTGGGGCTGTAGCTCAGTGGCAGAGCACTTGCCTAGCACATATGAGACACTGGGTTTGATCCTCAGCACCACTTAAAGAAATTAAATAGCCAGATGCAGTGGCACACACCTGTAATCCCAGTGGCTTGGGAGCTGAGATAGCGGGACTGTTAGTTCAAAGCCAGCCTCAGCAAAAAGTGAGGTGCTAAGCAACTCAGTGAGATTCTGTCTTTAAATAAAATACAAAATATGACTGGGGATGTGGCTCAGTGGTCAAGTGTCCCTGAGTTCAATCTCTGATACTGAAAAAAAAAAAAAGAAAGAAAGAAAAAAAAAAGAAAAAGTAAAATAAAGCATGCTGTCCATCTACAGCTCCAAAAAAAATTTTTTTAAAGTTTTGCTTAGATTATAAATCCTTGCTAAAGGGAAATTATTCCCAATGTCATGTCCCTATTTTGCTTTGTATCCAGAAGAGCAGTATTTCATACTTAGAAGCTAGTTATTTTGCAAAGATTTTCTTGAAGTAGTAATCTAGATGTAGCTTCAAACAATTAGCTTTAAGAAGTTAGTCAATACAAGCAATATTTTCCTCATTATCATCTTTAGGTGCACACATTTATATCCTACCTTCTATTTTGTTTGAAATGTTTTAGCAATACTAGAACTTCTCATCCATATTGAAAAACTAAGGTGACCCTTACCATTTCTGCAATTGCATTTACTTTATGCTGGTTTCATCCAATCTAAAATCTGATTGAATTCTAGCATAGAAGGTATATACAGCTGAATTGAGGGGAGTGGGAAATGGCATCCATGAATATTGAGAACTGTGTATCCCTTTACAGATGGTGTGTGTGGTATGTTACATATTAGCTTATTTTATTCAGACCCTGTGGTTTGATCCTAAGGAAAGAGGCCCCCGTCACTTCCCTTAGGGTTGACCCCCCTTCCATAAATAGACAAACATTGGTCCTTACCACATGTGTTAAAATTTATACCACTCTATTTCTGAAAGGCCCAGGATTTAGGAAAGGGCCAAATTTCTCTGTCAGGAAACAGCATAAGAATAGGAATGGTTCTATTCTCTCTTTTTATGCCTTGCCATTAAAAGCCAGCTTCTACAGTATAAAATACATATTTCCCAAAGTGTTGAATAAGCGGGTTATTGGCATTTTTAAAAATCTTTAGGAAATCCAGCCTAAATGCCAAGGCAATAGAAGAGAAGTATTAGAGTTGAGACGCTAAGTCTCTCCTGCATCAAGGTTCTCATTTCTGCTATTTGTTCTGAGCTGGAAATGTTGAAAGGGATAACCATGAAGTAAAAGCTGCTATTGACCTGGAAAGCTGACTCTCAGTCTAGCAGGTGAAAGTGGGATGACAGATGTGAGCCATTCTGATTCTGGCTTTTACTAAGCACATGTGGAGTTGAAACAGGCCTCACCTAAGCGTCCAGCATCCTGCAGCTGAATCTTGAGCATTTCCATGGGGCAGGTAACCACCACTTGGCACATGCCAGCCCCACAGCCAGCCAGCATCTCCATCTTCAGGTTCCGCTGCATTCTATGGGAGCAGGAGTCAGCTCTTCAGACTCAGGGCAGAACTGCCATACCACCTTGGCTTATCTACTACCTTCCCTCTGCAGTGGGGGAGGAAACCTTTCCATGAATGGTACCTGTCTTTGTCACCATTGGCTGCCACCCACCTCGCTGGGAAAATAGTCACCTGGGCCTAAGGTTCAGTCTCCTTAAACACTTGAGGCTAAATTTATATAGCACAGACTGCTAGGGAGACAACACCTGGATAGGAGTTGAAACCAGTAATAATGAAAGTACCTAGGTCAGGATTCTTCATTTTGTTTGTTTTTTGGCACTGGAGATTGAGCCCAGGAGCGCTTTACCACTGAACATATCTCAGTCCTAGAGCAGGTATCTGATTCTCCCTGATCCCATATGTACTATCTCTAGGGCAATGCGAGGACAGAAATAGAAAGTGTCTCTGGGCCGATTTAAAAATTCATCAGCTGGTTGGTAAATATATCTGCAAACATACTCCACATGTTTTATATTCTTTCTCGATAGATTTCCTACCTCTCTCTTCCAAATTATACCAGTTCATTTATTTCCCTACTTTCCATCTGCCAAAACACACCAACCCTTAGCCATATGTGCACACATACTTAAATATGTGCTGACGGGTAAACTGAGACACACTCCCCAAGACAAGGTGAAAGATCTTTGTCCCTGACTCCATTTGGCCATACCCATCTTCCATGAGCAGCTGCCGGAAGAAATCATTGGCTGCCAGTTTGATGGCCTTCTCTGGAGTGACTAAGGTGAGGTTTACCGCAGCCCCTGGAGATGAAAAACAAAGATGAGCAACTATGACTGTCCCAAAAGTGACAATTTCCAGAGGCTCCCTCTCACAGACAACACACACAGGCTGGGAAGGCAAAGCTTTGGGGGTGTCACGAGCCAAGCAGGGACACTTGGCCTATTTTATTTAAGCAAATTTACTTTCATTTCCTCTCTACATTTTCTTCTTTCTAATACATTTGTTTCCTTTATGGACACACATCCAGTTATCAAAAAATCACCTTGGGGCTGGGGCTGTGGCTTAGCAGTTGTGCACTTGCCTGGCATGTGTAAGGCTCTGGGTTCAATTCTCAGCACTGAATATAAATAAATAAAGGTCTATCAATAAAAAAAATGTTATTTTTGCCCTTGCTGGTGTTTTCCACCTTTGAGGATAAATAAGTACTCATTAGTCCCGGGCAAGTAACAGGGACTGGGTTTCCATTACTCTGTATGACACTAGCCCAGACCCAGCATGGTTCACACAGATTTTATTTTATTTTATTGCTCAAGGATAACGACACATCAGCTCTTTCTCAAAACTAGTATAGGGAGCCAGGCATGGCGATGTATGTCTGTGATCCCAGCAGCTCAGAAGAGGCTGAGGCAGGAGGATTGCAAGTTCAAGGCCAGCCTTACCAAATGAGCAAGGCTTTAAGCAACTTAGGAAGACTCTGTTGCAAAAGAAAAAATAAAAATGGCTGGGGATGTGACTCAGTGGTTATGTGCCTGGGTTCAATCACCAGTACAAAAACATGACATCAAAATAAAACAACCTTGCCTAGGACCTGTTTTCCAATGGTGCTACTGAAGAGGACAACAGCAGCAGCAGTGTAGGATCATGCTAGGGAAGAGCTCGAAGTCCTTTTCACTCTGTTCCTTTCAGCCTCTCCCTTTCTGCTACTAGTAGTTGGATGTCCTATCAGCTCTGTAGGGACACAGAGGGCAAGGGAGGTGGGAGGGAGGCAGGTTAAGGCTCACTTGCTTAGGGAATGGATGGAACCTGGGGCTTCTGGGTTCCACAGTGGCTCACTAGTCCCCCAGAAAGCCTTAACAGGAAACAGTTATCTCCACCTCTGTCAAAGAGCTTATCAAAGGCTCATGAAAAGTTAATGTAGTCCAGCATCATCTGATAGCCCAAGCTGTTCCAACAACTCCCTGGAAGGAACATCCATGCCCAGGGTGCTATAAACTCACAAGGCTGGGGCCTCTATGTCACACCCACTGTCCTCACCATGCCAAGTCAGGTTTCCTCTGGGATGCCTGATAAACTCACCTCTGTACATGCCCAAGAAGCCCTCTGCACGTGCTGTCTTCATCAGGCAATCTATCCTAGAAGCAGAGGCCAGAAGAGGAAATTAGTGGTGCCCAGGAGGCTGCTTCCTCATGGACAGGATGAGGCACATTTGCAAACCTCTCCCCAAAACCCAATCTTTCCCCAAGCCCTGATCTTTCTGGGCACACCCCAGTTGACCATGCTCCCGAAATCCCTCCACCATCAACACACTCCCTGAAGAAACTCTGGAAAGGATGAGGCCCATTGCCCTTCTCCCCAACCACACCACTCCCCACCAATACCTACATTCCTTTGTACATGTCTTTTCCATGCTGGTTCTGCAGTCGTGTCTTGGCCAAGTCGATGGGGAACACACAGGTCACCCCCACAAGCCCTGCCACACCTCCATTGATGAGTTTTGCTGCAATACTAGCTCACGGGGAGGACAGAAGCACATGAGGGAAGATGGCTGCTCACAGTCACATGCAACCAGGATTGGGTGTGGGGGACAGGAGAGCAGGAATAGGGCAGAGAAAAATAGAACGGCAGCTGCAAGGCCTTCAGTCCTGGTGGGACTTGTCTAGAGACTCTGTCCTTGGCCTCCTACCCCAGCCTGACTGGCTGTCACTCTCCCCCAAGCTCCAGTTGGAGATGCTGCAGGTAGGGATCTGAGAGCGCCCGGTCTCCTCCTCCAGGAGGCCTGCACTCACCAGGTCTGAACCATCTTGGACTAACTCACCAAGCTGGGATGCAGCAAAGGCTAGTGGGAAAAAGGCCCACTCTGCCCTCTGGAGCCTCACAGGGGAGTTGCAAGCCTTGGCTCAGCCTTGGGACATGTCCTCTGGAATTGCCACCAAAGGTTGCTACCTATTCTCTGACTTTTTTTCATCCTTGGAGCCACACGTGGCAAAGTTTCAAACTGTAACTTTACTTCCAGCTTAATGTCAGGCAGACAATGCAACTCCTGACTGTTTACTTGAGCAAAATACCTCAATTCTCTGAGCCTGTGTGAAACTCACCTAAGGAATTATATGAGGATTAAATAAACTAAGGCTTTGGTAAATGATAGCTATTGTTAAAAATAAGAGGACACACATTTCTTAAAATGAGGGCTGCTAGTCATCAGCAGATAACTAAGTTTTGAGATTATCTAATTCTAGCCAAAGCAAGATAGATAATAGAGCCCCTTCATCCTGGGTAAATATAGGAGTTTAGAAAGATAGAACATAGAAAATAAAGCTTTCTCAGATTCCTGGGAACCTAGTAAAATTTTGTTAATTATCAAGCCAGAGGCAGATGTGAGCAAAATATTTGGAGATAGATTACTGGGAAGTGATAAAGTAGATAATAAGAGTTTCCTCACAAAGCAATCTAGATAGACAAGCAGGAAACTTTGTGAAAACAAACAGAACTATGATTTAAATTTTGCAATCTGAGACGATGCACCCAAATACAAATTATTTTAACAGTATTATATATTTGTATATATATATTTGTATTATATATTTGTATGTGTGCGTATTTTGGGGGGAATTGTGCATGTTTCTGGGGCAGGGTGCGGATGATCATCTCATTTATTCAGGGGGAGACACTGAGATGGGCTGTTACCACAGCTTACCTCAGATCCTGGTTGGACATTCTGCAGGGACTGTGGCCAGTTGGTGGGTCCAAAGACACAAGGCTGTTGGCTCCTCAAAGTATGCTCTTTCTGGACTACTGGAGGGGAAATAAGTGGTGTCTGATTCCTTGACTTCAGCTTCCCACACAGACAACAGGCAAAGAACTGTCAATGAGTTGACACTGCCAGCTTTCACTGTGTTCCAAGACCTTTTGGACTTTTGGGATTTAGATCAGAATTCTCAACCTTTTGTACTTTAGAGATCAGATAAGAATGGTGTAAGAGAGAAGGATAAGCAACTTCATGAGTCCCTGAGTTTGATCCCCAGCAAAACCACCAAACAAGCAACAATCTCAAATGCAGGCTCTGGGAGCATTTTGGACAGAGAACTTAGAATAGCAAAGGAGGCTCACAGGATAAAAAGTAGGAATTGCAAGGAATTGCTAAAGATCAGGAATCCCTCGTGAGGTATTCAAGAACTAAAGTAAAACACTGGTTCTAACATTTATTCTCAAACTGTGTTTTCTGAACTTTCTATGACACCGAGATATCTCTGGATTTATTTATAGGTGACACATATGGAAAACACCAGGGACGGTACTCAGGATGTGGGAGCAATAGTAACGGTAATAAGAGGAGGGCTTCTGCCTTAATCCCAGAGGAGAAGTACCAGAAAGGGTCCTGATACTGGGAGGAGACTGGCCTGAGCTCCGGGGGGCTTCTTATTCCCAGCTTTCCTGTAAACTGCCCTCCTGTGCTCTTTGCTGTACCCCAGGGATGTCAGCAATCCTTTTTTTTGCCTCTAGGTATTTTATTATGAGGAAGAAAAGAGAGAGAAGGAAAGAGAGGGAGCAATCTTTTTTGGAGGTTTATTAATACATTTAAAAAAAAATCATTGAATGCCAGGCACTATTCCAGATCTAGGGATACACAATAGTAGTGAACAAAGACTAAGATTCCAGCTTTCAGGGACTTTAATTTGGGGAGACATATAAATGAGAAAAATAAAGACTGAAGATATTGGAGAATGATAACTATGGAGGAAAACTGGCATGATGGTGCATTGCTGTAATCCCAGAGGCTCCAGAGATTGAGGCACTAAAGAACTCAGTGAGACCCTGTCTCTAAATAAAATACAAAATAGGGCTGGGGATGTGGCTCAGTGGTTGAGTGCCCCTGAGTTCAATCCCTGCTACCAAAAAAAAAAAAGAAAGAAAATGTCAGTGGACACTTGACAAGAAAGATTCATGGAGCAGATGATCCTAAAGCAGGGAGTGAGGAGTAAGTCATGTAGATATCTGAGGAGAGCATTTGGGGTACAGCAAGCATGGCTGGGATGGAGCTCAGTGATAAGGCACTTGCCTGGCCCTGGGTTCCATTGCTAGCACCATAAAATGAAAACCAAAACAAAACCAAAATGCAAAAAGAGCTGGGGCTGTGGCTCAGTGGTAAAGCCCTTGCCTAGCATGTGTGAGGTATTGGATTAGATTCTCAGCATCACATAAAAATAAATAAAAACAAAGGATCATCCACAACTTAAAATTTTTTTTTTAAAACTCACAAAAGACCAAGTTATTATTATTATTATTGTGTATCAGGGATTGAACTCAGGGGCACTTGACCACTGAGCGCCAGCCCCAGCCCTATTTTGTATTTTATTTAGAGACAGGGTCTCACTGGGTTGCTTAGTGCCTCAGTGTTGCTGAGGCTGACTTTGAACTCACAAACCTCCTGTCTCAACATCCTGAACCTCTGGGATTACAGGTGTCCACCAGCACACCTGCCTGAGACCAATTTAATTATTGCAGGAAGGGACCGTCCAAGAGAAGGGTGCTGAGAAATGGTTAAATCATGGAAGGGGATGTGGCTCAGTGATAAAGTACCCCGAGTTCAATCTCCAGTACCAAAAAAAAAAAAAAAAAAAAAAAAAAAGGAAGGCAACACATAGAAAATTTTCTGATGAGCAAGATGTGAAAGATAAAAGGAACAGTTAAAGAAACAGTGAAGTTCTTATGGGGAAAACTGAAAGAATGGGTTTGTGATATGGAACTTGGATCAGTTGGCAAAACAAGAAAAACTTCTGCAGAGAGATTCAAAAAAGTGAAACAAGCACATCTGAAGAAACAAAAGAGACATTCATTTTCATTCCTGATACTGTTTAATCCTTGTTTCCAGTTCATTCCTGGATGCCAGCTGCATTCCTGTCTTGGATTCTGTGACTCTTACCTGTCTTGACATTAAATTGACCTCATTTCATATCTTGCTAGAATTGCTTTCTGATATTTCTAATCACAATAGTCTAACCTTCCAAATTTGCATTAGGAGTGAGAATTTGCATTCCAGATCCCAAAGTCTGGGATCAGCTGAGAAAAGAGGGCACAGGCTGGAGAGTTTGCCTCTACAGTTAAGGAGCTGTCAGTCTTTGTGCAGTCACATACCATCTCCTGTTTTTTGTTTTTGGTATCAGGGATTGAATCCAAAGGTGCTTAACCACTGAGCCACATTCCCAGCCCTCTGGTCTGCTAAGTTGCTGAAGCTGGCTTTGAACTTTCAATCCTCCTTGCCTCAGCTGAAATTACACGTGTGCCCCACTGTGACTAACTACTTAACATCTCTTGAAGCTCAAACTGTATACCTCTACTTGGTGGCAAAATATCAAGATGGTAAAGTATATTGGCTGTTGAGATATTTAATAAGTAGTTAAGAGAGAAAGACATGGGGCTGGGGATGTGGCTCAAGTGGTAGCGCGCTCGCCTGGCATGCGTGCGGCCCGGGTTCGATCCTCAGCACCACATACAAACAAAGATGTAGTGTCCGCCGAAAACTAAAAAATAAATATTAAAAAAAAAAGAACTTTAAAAAAAAAAAAAGAGAGAGAAAGACATGTTCCAAAAGTTGATGGGAGGGCTGGGGGATGGAGCTCAGTGGTAGAGTGCTCGCCTAGTATGTGCAAGGACCTGGCTTCTATCTTTAGCACCCTGCCTCCCATCAAAATCATAAACTCCATCTCATGTCCTCTATATGCAGTGTCTTGTCATGACATGTAATTGTTTTGCTTTGTGAAGGCAAGTGTATTTACAACTTTATATGTGATATTCAATAACTGTGATAATTGTGGATATGTAGGAAATAGTTTGTTTACATGTCCTTAGGCATTAAAAGGTGGAATTGGGGTTGGATAACTATCTAGAATTACCACTTTTCCAGGAATCGCCTTTTCTCCCTTACCATTCCTACTGGATGCAGGGTAACTGCCATGTTTCTAAGATATCAACTCTATCCACAGGTTAATATGGTCCTCTAAGCATGAAAACCAGACTTGAGCAAGGTCACTCCATCCCTTCCATAGGAATTTAGAGAATATATATATATAAAGTATCTTTCAGGAAATTTTTTTTTCTGTAACATAAAACTTGGATCTTAGAAGCAAACTGTTTTATGGCTTGGGAAACAGAGAGGTGGATTTGTCATAAGCAGTAGTAACTAAAGTACAGAGCTAAAGATGAAAGAGTGTTCTGATGGTGTTTGAAAGCCAGATGATAGTGACCCACCTTCATTCCTGACCTTGAGTAACAAAGGGATATCCCACTATCCTTCTAATGAATTGACTGTCTTAAGCCAATTAGAGTAGTTTTTGTAATTTGTTAACCAAAAAGTCCTTAACTTAGGGAAAACACACCTCAAATTCCACTTACTAGTAATTGAATGCTGTAAATGTTCCATGATGTGTAAGACCATTATTGGCTGGCTTGAAGGAGCTTAAGAAGTGGGCATAAGGGAAATTTTTAGAGGAGGAGGAGGAGAGGGGAGGGCAGTGTGGACAGAGCACAGCATGACCAAAGGTGAGGCAAACAGGGTTTAGAGACTGCCTCCCCAGACTGTGGGAAAGGAGGCTAGAGACATAGATCAAGCAGTTGCAGAGAATTATGGCAATCAAATATAAATTGTGGCCCCCGTCCCCGGCAAAAAAGAAAACTGTATTTGATCCTGGAGGGTGTGAGAAAACACTGAATGCTTTGAAGGGGGAAAATACCATACCAAATGTGGTATGTAACAACTATTCTCGAAGAACAGGTTGAGGGAAAGAAGTTTGGGGTGAGAGACCATCATGTTACAGTGATGGAATGGAGAAGGAAGGATCAGGTAGAACAAATCTAAGCTTGACACAGACAAGGGTGGCCTGGAGGGATCATCCTAAAGAGGAAAAGGGCCTGGACTTGATAACTCTCCAGGGTTAAAGAAGAGGGAAGAACTAGGGATCTAACTCAAGTCTGACATCTGTAGGACTGGACAATGAAGAAAAGGAAGCTCCTGCAGCAGCAGAGAGAAGAGGATAATCCAGGCTTTGGGATGGCCTCCTCCAGCCACGGTGGGAGGTGAGTGAGAAGAACACCCACTGACAGTGCCCATCCTGCTGTATCATTCTGTCAGCCTGGCCTTTGGCCTCCTCACAGCCCCATCTCCACACCTTCTCTCATTCCCTCCACCACTGCAGATCCTATTTGGTGAATAAGGAGGTGGCTAAGGATGGTGGTAGCAGAGTGAAGGATGCAGACAGGTTTGGGTGGGAGCTGCCTAGGTCTCTTCCCCACCATGGAACAGCAGAACTCATCTGTGATCCCTCCTGTCTGCTCAGCTGGGAGAGAGCTCATTATCATCACTTCAGGAATGATGAATTATGTTTTGTTACTAATGAATATTTGTGCTATTATTTAAAGTAGTAGGAAACAATTAGAAAACTCTGTAGTTCCTCAGAATTGATTTTTAAAAAAAATTTTGTAGTACTGGGAATTGAACACAGTACTACAAAATGAACCTCGTAGACAGGAAAAACACATCTTTCCCACCAAATCATGCCAGCACCATCCAGCCAGAGCTGGACTGCCTCCTACAGCTCCCTGCTTGCAAACTCGCTCCCTTCAAACCTATTCTCCAGCATAGGGTGCACTGGGTTTTGCTCTGCCAGTCAAGCACTGCTCTGCCAGAGTCCTTCACAGACTTCCCTCTACTCTTAGGTTAGATTAGATTCTTGCTCCTTACCCCAAACAACCTGCCCAACAGGCCCCACTGTCCTAAATGGCTGCACCTTCAGTCTTGG